ATCGGGGTCTTTTGCCAGCGCCGCATGACGTACGTTGAACTTATCTCCCAGTTGGGTATCTACCTTCATGCCAAAGCATAACTGGTTAAAGTAGAGCTGGAAACCATAGTCTTCAAACAAGGCCTGGTAATAAGGCTTGTGATAGTTCATACCATACAGCGGTGGCGTGAATCCTTCTACCAACAGCCCCCACCAGCGCTCGCGCTCGCCGAAATTGATGGGGCCATCCATGGCTTCCATACCACGTTCGAGCAGCCATTGACGGCAAAAGTCGAACATATAACGGGCGGCTTCGGGATCATTGATGCATTCAAAAAAGCCAATGCCGCCGGTCGGTTGCTCCTGCTTGTACTGCCTGTTTACAAAAGCGGCAATGCGGCCAATCGCCTGGCCTTGTGCATCCAGCAACAACCAGCGGGTGCATTCACCACGTTTAAAAAACTTGTTTTTCTGAGGATCGAAAACCTCTTCAATATCTTTATCCAGCGGCCGTATCCATTGCGGATCATCTTTATAAATAGCTATAGCAACTTCTAAAAAACGTTGCTTATCGGCTGCTGTCGTAACCTCGTGCATCTGCATAAAACAAGAACCGGGATTTTTATTAGGGGGGATTTTTATGAATGATGATAAAAAGATCAGACCAGCTTTCCGCGCCACCTGCCCCAACGCAGGTAAGCATATCCAATGATCAACAGGGACGTCCAGTACACAAATTCCGACAACCAGGCAACGTAAAGCGGGCTGCGCATTCTTTCAATAACGATGTAACAGTAGACCAGGTAAATAAATACGCTGGCAACTTCAATGATCAGGTTGGCCGTTGTTTTTCCGGTACCTACCACCCCGTTAAATACTACGGTACTCAGCGACATCACCAAGGTAGCTACCGTAACAACTCTTAAGCTGGGCAAGGCCATTTCAATCAGCCCCATATCGTCGGTAAAGAGTGAAAGATAAAAACGGGCGCTAAGCAGCATGACCATACAAATGACCGCGGTAGATAAAAAACTGATCTTCGCCACCTTATGCACCAGGCCCAGTACATCGCGCTGCCGCCCCTGCCCAATGATATTGCTCACCATAGAATTACAGGTAGCGGCAAATGCCCAGGTACTGACCGATA